TCATAAAGAGAGGACAGGAGCTATAACTGAAGCCGCAGAGGCTAGAAAAAGCACTCCCAAAGCACACCGAAGCTTCGCCAATTACACAACCAAGATGATTGCACTCTGACGCCAGGACAGAACAGTTACAGGTTCCAGAAAGGAAGTGGAGAAAATCATCACATCTTTCTCTTCTCATACGAATTAAGGGAAGATGGATATGTTGACGCACCGGTTCACAATTCCAAAATCCAATATGCTATTTCGCCGATGAGAAATCGAACAATACCAGGTCGGCATAAGATAAGATCTGAATACCTGAGAAACTTTCCTCCAACCCTTGTAAACACACTGGCTCGACACCTCACACGTTACCTGTCCGAATGTAATGACTCCTACTTGGTGGAAGACCAGCGAGACTGTGCATGAAGAACAGAGCACCGGACGAAGGACGGCCATATGAACAAGGAGGGTTTCGAAAATTATTCCATATGATGGGCCACATCCATACGATAACGAGATATTGAAGTATCGTGAGAGTACAAAAGACCGCTCTGCCTCATTTTCATCGATTTGAAGAAAGCTTCTGACTCAGATGAGATAGAAGTAGTCACGGAAGCCCTTAATAGTCAAGGAGTCTCTACTCAGTACATAAAGATTCTTCGTGAGCTGTACAAAATTTCACAACCAAGATATCACCATTCTAAAACGATATTAACATTGACGTCAAAACAGGAGTTAGGCAAGGCGGTACCACCTCGCCAAAATTTTTTACCGCCTCCCACCAAAACGTCATGCGAACATTGGAATGGGATAACATGGGAGTGAAAATTGATAGTCGGCAATTACACTATCTTCGCTTTGCTGATGACATCGTCCTTATGACGCCAAACATTAGCCAAGCGGAACGTATGCTTGCCGACTTTGATAAAGCCTGTGGAAAGATTGGTCTTTGACTAAACCTCACAAAAACGATGTTCATGAAGAACGGATTGGTCTCGCATGCCCCATTCACGCTCAACGGAACGAATATCTCCGAATGCTCCAGTTATGTCTATCTAGGTCTGGAAATCAATATGATGAACGACGTAGCTCCAGAGCTGAGCAGAAAGAAACGAGCGGCTTGGAGAGCTTTCAAGAGCATCGAGGATGTAGTGAAGAGAACAAAGAACACTCGACTCCGTGCCCACCTTTTCGACTCAACGATACTTCCTGCCCTAACGTATGCGTCAGAGACCTGGTCGCTGCGTAAGCAGGATGAAAGATCACTCAGTTACTCTAAAGACCGACTTTCTATAAACCTTGGCATAAATAGTTGCCATATTTGTTTATGTGATCTTATAAACTGATCTTCTTAAGCTGACGCGAGGTTGGTACAGGTCTTCGTTGTCGTTGTTTTTGATGTTATTGATCGATGGCTGACGTTTCGGCGACTTCGCCTTCCTCAGCAGAGCTTGGACGTATTTTATAATAGAATATTTTTATTATTTGGTGGAAAAGAAAGGTTAAAGTGTTAATGAAGATCAAACTTTCAAACAGACGCCATATTGAACAGAAAGGCCATTTACCGCGATGTTACCTGCGGGACTGGCCCACGCATTGTTTTCGTGGAGTCGCGAGCAAGATACGCCCCGGGGTCAAAATCATTTTGAAATAGGGCGCCAGGTCACGAGTGATAGTGAGGCATTCGTCCTTCCGGTTCATCTTTGGATTTTTGAAATTTATACAAAACGCCTCAAGAGTTTCGCGTCGATGTTTTCGATTCCTGCGCTAGGATCCGCACATTCACTTCAAAATCATCGCCGTTGTGCTTTTGTGCCCTATGCGTACCTAGAGGAGTGTTTAAACGGATTTTAGCATTTCCATCTAGATGTTCTTTTATGCGGACACAAAGTGGTCTACCCGTTTCTCCGATATATTCCTCGCCGCGTGCATTACATGAGATCAAGTATATTATACCTGAACTTATGCAGTCCCCGTCTCTCCCGTCAGGACAGATCATACAGTTTTCTGAGCTGCACAAACGACCATAGAGACGGTTGCGAACTAACTGACGGCGTGGGGTATTGCGTGGGAGGTTCTCGTTATATAGTTTTCAAGACCACCTTTCCTTAGACATCTCTTAATGGCACAACTTACTTAATCTGATAGGAAGAGTAGCTTAAAAGGGATCTTACTTTCGTCTGGAATATTATTTTGAAAACTACCCAACGTCTTCCTCTAAACCGAGTGGCTTCTACTTCGTAGCCATTGGAAGTGGCCATTTTTCGTGCCAGGCTTCGCAATTCCTTTCTTTCCTCTTCTCCTGTACACACATTTTTAGCCGTACGATACATATTTTTGATAAGTGCTTTTTTCCTGTGTGAAGGATGAAAGGAGAGGCAGTGAACTAGAATGTTTTTACTACTTCGCTTGCGATACCATTTTGTTATATAGCCACTTATTGAGAGCTTTATTTCGGTGTTTAAGAATGGAAGCCAATTCTCGGTAGGTTTTTCTCGTGTGAATTTTATATACTCTGACTGTCGGTTTAACAATTCAAAGCACTGATCCACCTGTTCTTGTGTGGAACAGACGATGAAGCAGTCGTCTATGTATCGACAGTAGAGGAAGGATCGGTGATCGAGAACTGGAGCTTCCACCTTAGACATGAAAGCTTTAGGTGGTCTGGAAAATATTTTGCACGAATTAGAGGGTTGGCGATGGGGCAGCATTTAGCTGCAAGCCTTGCCATCGCTTTCATGACTGCTTCGTCTGTTCCACGCAAGAACAGATGGATAAGTGCTTTGAATTGTTAGACCGACAGTCAGAGCATATAAAATTTACACGAGAAAAACCTACCGGAGAATTGCCTTCCATTCTTAAACACCGAAATAAAGCTCTCAATAAGTGGCTATATAACAAAATGGTGTCGCAAGCCAAGTAGTAAAAACATTCTAGTTCACTGCCTCTCCTCTCATCCTTCACTCATGAAAAAAGCACTTATCAAAAACATGTACCGTACGGCTAAAAATGTGCGTACAGGAGAAGAGGAAAGGAAGGAATCGCAAAACCTGATACGAAAAATAGCCATTTCTAATGCCTACGAAGTAGAAGCCACTCGGGTTAGAGAGGGTAGTTCCCCAAAATAATGTTTCAGACGAAAGTAAGATCTCCTTTAAGCTACCCTTCATATCAAATGAAGTAAGTCGCGCCATTAAAAAGTGCTTAAGAAAAAGTGGTCTTGAAAATTATGTAACGATTATTGACATCCCACCGAATACCCTACGACGCAAGTTAGTTCGAAACCGTCTCGGACACGTAATGTGTATGAACGACAACCGATGGACAAAAGCCGTTAGTGATTGGATTCCTCAGGATGTTAAACGCACTGCAGGAAGACCACCGACCCGATGGTCAGCGTTCTTCACGAGAATCCTAGAAGAAAGCAATGATACTCAACGAGTCTCTAGAGCTTGCGTAAAGTCTATTCTTACTCTTGGTAAGAATATCCTAAGGATGACACTAGACTATATTCACGAGGTGGTATCCCCTTGTCGAGCTTCTTTGTGTCAGTGATAATGTCATTGTAAAGAATTGTAAAGAAGGCAATAGATCTTTGTACTCAAGAATTGCATTGTTGGTATATTCCACGTATCTTTAACCAGTCATCATTTCCTAAGCATGGGATATATGTGACATGCCACAATATCGAGCGGTAGCCATCTGGTACGGCAAATGCAAGTACCAGGTCATTTATGTTTCTACATGTAATATTAAGTTGAGGGCGCCTACAGCGCAGTGGTCGGAGGCGCTCTGCAATACACGTGGAATCTATCCACACGCCATAGCCCACCAAGCCTTCCATCCCTCCGGGGTCGGCAATTTTGAACCAGACTTGTCCGGGAGGATAGCAGCACTGGATCGATACATCGACTGGCCACCCTGAGTCGTTGTAAAGGTCAGATATGCATTCAATCACCTCTAACGGTGCCTAATGAGTCCCAATGCAAGGCGTATCCCTCTCGAATTGATCAACGTTGGGAGATTCATCCTTTCCTTGATATTAATTTGAATAATCAATCCAGTAAAACAGCGCATATGATGTGCTAAGGTCTGAAACTGTGAAAATAAATGATACATTATGGTTCGTATTAAGTCACTATTTCTTCGCCAACAATGCTGCTCCATGTCTGTTTTGTGCTCCAACAACAATGCGAAATGGTTTTTCATGCTAGTCGTTCTCTTTTTTCCAAATATTTTGTAGTACTTTGCAAGTTGTTTATTGTGTTGAGTTTCTACTGACTCGAAGCTTTGCCAGCATACGTTTTGTACGAAGGTGCCGTTCTTCTAAGTTGCTTGGGTGATCACGATTTTCGAATGTTCTCTAACGAGTTTGCCCTTACTGTTGGTTCGTAAATTCTTTAGGACCTCTACGCCCACGCACTTTCTTAGTTTCTGTTTTTAACGAATATGGTGGAACAAACAGATACTCCACTGAATTCTGGTGATATACGTCATGTACAGATTTCTTTCTTCAGCAAGGAAAATACGTTGGTTTCCATTGTGTTTGACATTAAAATTTCAATGAAATATGACTACGTAATGTGTTTCAACAACTATCAGAAGTGATTCCCGCGACCGCCTTTCCGTTAACCTTGGCATTTTTCAAATGATCCTTTATATTCTTGTTGAGCCACTACGAGTAGTGTAGTAATGAAATAATAGCCACTTTGGTTCCCTGGAGTCCCGAGATCATTTAGGCCGAAGTCTGCCTTAGGACGTTACCACCACAGACAGTCGCCACCCTCGTGGATCAGAGGGAGATTTGCCACCATGCGACTAGTTTGATATTAGGACGGTGATGGATCCTGGTATTAGTTTACTCTTAGTTAGGTTTCCTGATGGAAACGCCGGACTCCTCACCTTGAGAGAACGTGCGGGGGTGGCAATGATTCCCTCCGCTGTACATCGCAGCCTGACACCCAGGAACACCTCTCAACCATGATGAGGGAGTAAACCGTTGGGAAGATAATAGTATTAGGATCAAATGCGGTTATAAGGACTGTCGGAGGTTTTTCAGAATCACTTATATTCCATCAGCTGTATTCGATGTTCCGATTTCTGCTACTGTTGAAAATTTAAATGCTTTAGTTAACAAAGCAATATGCTCTGCAAATGGTAAGGTCTTGATGGTTTTCTTCCATTCCGTTCTCTTTTCTCCTTTTCTTTTTTATTTACTTAACCTGTTTTTCTATGGTAAGATAGACGTATCCTAACCTTTTACAGGGTCCTGGAGTGATAAACGATTTGAGCTTCTTATCGGGGAAACATTCGTTCGTTCATCACTGGCAGAGTTCATTGAGGAGTACAGCGTTGAGACTGTACGTGATCCTAAAAGGTTTCTCCCTTGGTGGTCTCGCCTAAGATTTATTGCTCATTTGTTACAGGAGACTGTTCTAAAGATTGAATGTATACTCGGGAAAGAGACTCCCAAACCACTTCATGACATCTCTGCACCGGACTGGATCTCTTCCATTGCTATTTCTTCTTCTTAGTAAGTCAATACTTATTTGAAATATGATACTTTGTCTTCAGAAATCTTTCCTGCTATAATAATTCAGTTCAGTTTATTCGCAACGACGTATAGTGGTGATGTCATCATAATTGATAGTAATGGTAAGAAAGTGCTTGAGAATCAACGGGATAAAGGAAGCGCTCTAAAATGTAGTGTTCTCATGCACAAGGATATAGGTGGGTTTCGTTGTCTTCTAAAATATTCTTTTGTTAACAAACTAGGTTATTGGAGAAGACACTTCAGAACCCAAAAAACTGGAAGGTCATCAAATTGTTTCTGGTGGTGAGAACCAAATATTAACTTTGTACGAAGTCGAAAGTAGCGCCATGATCCCAAAGGTTAGTCGTATCCCTAAATCTCTAGGAACGATCACATGCGGCGACTATATATTCCAGACTGTTTTTCGAGGGCACGAGCGAAGTGTTGAATGTGTAGACGTTAATAAAGAATGTAGTCGTCTAGTATCTGGTGCTTTTGATTCGACGATCAAAGTCTGGAATCTAGAGTGTGAGTTCGTTTTTCTGTACGGTTCTGTATGAGAGGTGGGACTTGTGTAGCAGCTCAGTGGTTAGTGGCACCCTGCAATGCACATAGGATCGATCCCGTTCTACAAGCCCACCAACTCCTCCAAGACCTGTCTGGGAGGATAGCAGCACTGAATCGATACATCGTTGGGCCACCACCAGTCTTACAGACCAGATATGCAGTCAAATACTAATGAAGTAGAATGCGCGGCTCTTCTCTAAGGATTCGATCAACGCCAAGGGCTCTATCTTTTATCCTTTTCATGGGAAACAGTATAGTTCTCACAACGGTCTAGACTTTTTTTACCACTTATTTGTTTTAAAACATTTTATTTTGGCTTAAAATTCATTGTATTTAAGGTGACCAAGCAACAGTTTTTGAAAAAGACGCAGATGGTGACCAGAATCCCAAGAAGAGAAAAGAAAATTTTGTCACTAAGGTGAAGTTTGTTTCTTGTTCAACAGAAAGGCTGTTCAGAAATGAGCGGAATGTAAAACAAAAATGTCAAGGCGTTTCTGAGGCTGAATATTACTATTTTATGTTCCAATGGTAACTCTAGCTAGTCACAAGGACGCTGTGGTTGGTCTTCGATGGTGTTCTTGGAATAGCAGTCAGGTTATATCGGCGTCTTGGGACCACTGTATTGCTTTATGGGACTTACAACTTGGTATGGTCTTCTGCAGAGATTTTACCTTTTTTCTATTTATAGCCCCATATTTTTTATTTTTTTGTTCGATCATGACAGCTAGGATTGGATTTCCAGAGATTGTTAAATTCTTAAGGAATAGTATGAATGAAAGATCGAATAATTGGGTTCTAACAACTGTCTGTCCTTTTTACCTCAATTGATTAGTTTTACACAGGAACAAAGTGGACTCGAAGTTTTCTCGACTGTCGAACTCATCAAAATTGATCTTTTCATTCCAAAATCTACTGATCAGTACGCTGTTTACAATCTAAGCCGTCTGGTGAACTACTGCATTTTCTGATCGAAAAGTCTGCAACCAGTTTTCCTTTCCTACCAGAAACTTGGGTGGAATTGCGAACACATGACTGACGCGCCACTATATTTAACAGTGTTGTAATGACCAGGGCCTCAATATTCATGACTATATCGATTTTTCCGTAGTTGCTGGTAATTTTGCAAAGACTAGGGTACTTGAGAGCCATAAGATTACACGGACTTATAGAACATGTTTTTCCACAGTGCTCAGAAGGTAACTGTAATTTTCTGAAAGTGCTGTTTTTTTCTTAAAATTACTTAAACTTCAAACTTTCGGTTAGAAAAATTGTAATTCGTAACGGAAATCGGGTGGCTGAAACATTTCCGTAATGCGTCTGTGGGTGTAACGTCGCAGAAGTTCGTCTGGTTCATTCGCTTTGCTGTTGAGAAAACGAAAATCGAAAAAAAACATGCGAAGAAACGGATGTTTTGTAGGATCTATAAGACCAGAAATCATTGTGGAAGACTAGGAAGCCTTGGTCCTCCATTTGTGGTTCTGTTTAAATGTTTCAATTAATAAAATGCACTATGGGATATGTTGTGAGTTTTTTTTTTTTTGAATTGGAAAGACCAAGTAGCTTTCGGTCACCTTCGAGGCCCATGTGACTCTTATCCACTGCTATTACTATTACTATGCGTGGTCTTATAGATTGCATCTCACTATCATTTTGTATGGTTTTTTTCTTCAAGATTCAGTTTAGAATTTCTTATGGCAACTTGTCTAGCTCTTTAGTCCTTCCGAAACATGTCTTCTTAGAGATAATTGTCAGCTTATAATGTTCCATACTGTTCAGCGGGAGAGGTTTCCCGAATTCGTGGATCAAAGTCGTTCACCAGCATCGACGTTAATAAGAAATCTGGTTTGGTCATTAGTAGCAGTACGGATGCGGTTCCAAGACTTTATGACTGCCGTAGCCATGGTGAGTCCTTTGTAGCACTGGTCGGTGTACTCCTTAGTAGGTACTACAGCGAGATTACTCTTTTAGGTAAAATTTTTACTTTTGAAGATATCTGTTTGTTAATCCTTATTTATTTCTAGACTTATGTAAGGTGTCTGTCTATCCCGTTTTCTGCTGTTTTCCATTTTGTTATCTGTCTGATTAGTAGTTTGTTCAATGTATCATACATCGGTTCAGAAACTCCCCTTTAGTTACGAATCTACAAAAAGCTTTTATGGAGAGTATCGAAAATAAGGAGGGGTAATAAGATGTCTTCGCGTTCCACAGGTGTCTCGTGACGATCACCTTTCTTTGGTACCGACTCAGTAGCGAAAAAACCTGATATCTAAAGGCGTGAAGGGAAAATGAGATTTGGAAAATAGGCCGTTAAATGTGGAACCGATTTCGATTCATGGCGCGTAAATCGAAAAATTAAGCGTCGTTTTCTCTGTTAAGTTATAAAACTTGGTATTCCAACGTTATCGTTACTAAGAGAACGCTTGTAACGCAGTGGTTAGAGGCGCCATGTAATACACATGGGATCGATACCACGGCACAGGCTCATCAAGCCTTCCATCCCTCCAGCATCGCGACTGACCAGACTTGTCTGTGGGTAGCAACACTGACTCGATACATCAGCGGGCTACCGCGATTCATTGTAATGGCCAGGTATGCATTCATTGCTTGATGAAGTCGAATGCATGGCGCATCCCTCAGGGATTGATCAACGTCGAGAGCTTTATCCTTCAGCTTTTCACTACATATGACTTGCTTAGATCCCAAGTGCTTGTTCTGTATAGCAAGCAGTGATTTGTTCAACTTGATTTTGAGGAACTAATCCCAGTTATAACTTTTTCAGATGGTTCTTTGGTGAAGCAATCATTCATTGGTCATACTGGTTGGGTATCATGCGTTAAATGGAGCCCTCGCGATGAAGTGTGTTTTGTGAGTGCATCCTTCGATAAATCAATGAAGATGTGGGATATTCGGTGAGTCAATCGTTTTGCTTTTTGTAAATTAGAAATGTTATCTGTAATGCGTTCTGATTACTGTTTCGTTAAGAAATCCCAATTGTTCTTTAATATCCTCCACGCATTTGCGTCAGTGCGTGTTGACCTCTATGCAATTTTATTTGGTTCATCCTATAGCTCTATCATCAATGATTTTGCCATAGGGTTGCCCAAAGAAAAAATTCAGTTTAATTCACAATTTACAGAATTTTTCCGACAAAATTACTCTTAGGGTCTTGGTGAGGAAGGTGCTAACATATTTTGATAGTTTATTACAAATACAATATGCGGGCGCGTGTAGCGTTGTTGTTGGAGGCTCTGTGCAATACACATGGGATCAATCGCCGCGCCGTAGGCTCACCGAGCTTTCCATCTATCCGAGGTCGGCAAAAGGGTACCAGACTTGTCTGGGTGGATAATAGCATTGGTTCGATACAGCGGTAGCTCATCGCAAGTCATTTTTAAGGCCAAATATGCATTCGAGCACCGACAATGCTTAACAAAGTCGAATGCCTGGTGCATCCTCTGGGATTGATCAACGCCGAGAGCTTTTGGCTTTTATACCACAGTTCGTGCATTTTTTTGTGTAATTTTGCAGTGGTGCTAATTTATCCAACCACTTAGGTCATCTAAGACGTCACTGTTCGACTTACATGGTCATGATGACCGTGTTTTGTGTTGCGCATGGGGCGATGGTGTCGTCGCGAGTGGATCAGCTGATAGCACAATTAAAGTGTTTTCTACACCATAGGTCTTTTCTTCGTCATCATGTTGATTGTTTGCCAATTTTCTTGTTTGGATACGAGCTGTTTCTGTTGTTCCTATAATTAGAGGCGTTTTATTTTATTAGATACTATAGCTACTATTGTTGGAATTGAACTTGTTGATGTTTGATCGTTGGTAATCATGATAAACATAGAATCCTTCAGTGGTTCCACTGCATTTTTGTTCTCGCTCAAGAGACTATTTTCTTCAGTAGTGCATTGTATTCAATTTCTAAGCCTTTTTTTTTTCTTTAAAAAACATGTATTAGTACCGAAATATAGGCAAACAACGAAAGGATGGGGAAAGGATTTCAAAATTTCATGTCCAAAAAGGACTTTCATCCAAGCGCATGGTGGAATCTAAAAAGGGTTAGTTTTCACTTAGTCTAAAAGTAACCTTGCAAATGGTTTCATTTTTAAGGTGTGGGAAGTTCGGCAAAAGAAAGCCATTGATGACAAAAGACAAGAAGACCTTCGGGTTCAATATGAAAAGGAACAGGAAATGCTTAATAATAAGTAGGTGGTTAAGTTCTTCTCACACGTTTAGCTAACAGGACTAACCGCTTAATGGAATGCTTGTTCTTTATCCCTTTGCTAAAAGTGTTACTGTTTGAGCGTCAACATTTAGGGCGCTACTCGGTGATGAGAAGGCTAAAATGGGTTTGTCATTTATGTACGATGCGCCAGCAGGTATGACAAAAAGGGATGAACCAAAGGTTGGAATGTTTGAATTTTATGGAAATTGTTGCTGTGAGTCGCTAGTTTATTATTAAAGGTTGAGCTTTAGGAAGAACCAAAATTTGAGTGGCAACGAAAGTACCAAGCCCCCCGAGAAGAATGGGCCAAAGATAATGATCAGATTCAGGATCAGCCATTTGGTATACAGGTGAGTCGGAGTCTTGTTTAATAGGTGTACCAGCAGTAAAGAGAACGATCGTAGATGTAATGCTTTCGCAAAAAGCATACCTCTCTCAGGTTCGAAATGTTCGTTGCTGCAAATGTCACAAATGGGGTCATTTAAACACCGATAATGAGTGCCCTCTGTTTGGAATGAGCGGAAATTTCGAGGATGAGGGATGTAAGTGGATCCGTTTAGTCGTTTGTAGTTGTTTTGTTTTCAACATTGTTGATTTGTTTTTAACGTTTTCCTCGTCGTTTCTTAGTTGTTTGGAAAGTTCTTTCACGCTTAGTTTTATAGACGCTAATAATCCTTCGGATCTCATAAAAGAACTGCGGAAGGAACGTGAAGCTTGTGGTCCCTCACGTGCAAAAGAGGATCGTCTAAACAAAAAAGAGTTTGTGGATCGTACACAACTCGCTGAGGAAATGAAAGAGACGCACGGTCTGCGTTTAAAGGGAAACGTTTTAAATGGTATATCTAATTTTTTTTTGTTTCATATGATTGTGGTGATGCTGAGATGCTTGCGAAACTCCCAACTGCAAGTGTATGCAGTAGCGCACGAGCGCGCTATTATCCTTTCTAGAGGCTAGCGCGTTCACAACCACACCATGCGAGTCCTTCGTTTTGCCTATCTCTCCGCAAGTTTTCCGTCTAAATCACCCGTCAATGGGATTGATCTGGGTTTTTGATCTGGTTTGGGGATATTGCAAATAACTCAGCATCATTATAATTCTACTTCACGCATAATACCGTGAAAAGTCGTAGTAGGCACCAAATAAAAAGTTGTCGAAGAGTTACTTTCTGGTTTTCCTTTTCAGGTATCCGTGAAGATCAAGAGGTAAGCGTTTTGAAAGCAGAACCAAGTGAAGCAGAACAAATGAAGGCGTTCTTAGCGAGCTTGAGTGATAAGGAGAAGAAGAAGCTAATGAAGTATTCTTGGTCGTCTCCTTTGTTTTAATTTTCGCTTTTTTTTAGTTGTTCACAAAAACTTTTTTCTTTCAGAAAACTGTTGGGGAATCACAAGAATGCGAAGGACGACAAGAAGCACAAGAAGAAAAAGAAGGATAAGAAAGGAAATAAAAAAGACCGTGAGGGTAAAAACGACAAGAAAGTTTGTGGGATTAAGAAAGTTGAAACGTCATCCGTGGAAGACTCAGGCATGGATTTTGTCATCATTTTCCTTGTTTCAGTTACTCACTTATGCCAATTGTTTCAGATCTGAGTGATACGAGTGAGTTCATGGCGTATGAGAAAGTTTATGAAAACAGTGATTCGTTTGATTTAGATAAATCCTTAGCGCGACCTAAGAGCTCTAAGGAGAGGAAACCGTTACACAGCCCGGAGCGAGGTAGTATTTTTCAAAACTTTCGAACTTTTTTTGTTCGCATAAACTTGTATTTCTTTCACACTTTTTCGTCTACTTTGTATAGGTGTTGAAAACTTTGATAAGATACTAACAAATGTACCTTTGTTTGGTAAATTACTCGGGCAGACACTGGAAAGTACTGACAGCTTCTGATGATTTTTAGTCTTTACAACTTTTAAACTTGTGTTAAAATTAATCGAAAATAATAATTTTCGTTTTATCTCAATTGTTCTGATGCGTTAATAGGTGACTTGTAGAATACTGCTAGAGTAAACGTAGGTCTTTTTTCTGGGAGAAACTTTCGAACTGCTTCATACGTAAAAAGTTACTACTCAATTGGATGAATTTGTTTCGGCCAAGGTACTATTCTTCTACATTCAACTACACGACACTATCTTGAAAAAGAAGTCACACATTGTCGCGACTGTCTCTCACTTGGTAGCATTTCGGAAACTAAGTATATTAGGCACTAGCAACGAAGTTGATTTTTCGACAACTGCCGGTAACTTCCATGAACGACTTTATATTACTCTGGGCATTGATCGAATAATTCGCTGTATTGTTTAAGAGGGGCGCATGTGGCGCAGTGGTCGGAGGTGCCCTGCGATACACATGGAGTCGATACCCGCGCACCTGGCTCACCAATCCATCCATCCCTCTGAGTTGGGCAAATCGGTACAAGACTTGTCTGGGAAGATTGCAGCACTGGCTCAATACATCGGTAGGTTACTGTGGGTCATTGCAAAGGCTGTATATGCATTCAGTCACCACCAACGATGTTAATGAAGTCGAATGCATCATTCAGAGATTGGGCAACCCGGAGAACTTTATCCTTTGTTCCTTTTGTTCTTGATAAGCAAACTCTTGGTTTTTAGTTTATTCTTAATTGATGAGCAAGATGATGTTTTGGCGGATTTCATCTTCCTGAGCCTAGAAAGGTCAAGATGGTCAAGTTGACTGCACTGTACCCAGCCGAACACCTCCAGAACAAAGCAGTTAAAACACTAAACCTAAACCAAGATTTCAATCGCATTCAAAACAAATCAGCTTTTTCGTACACTCACCGCTTTCTTTGAGTCTTCCACTGAGCATTTCACGTGGAGACCAACTGCGCAGAATTCAAATTTTTTTCGCATTTTTCGCATGAAGGCGTAATGTGCCTCTGACATTGAAATATCAATGTTGAATATCGTGTGGATCACTCATAATAACGAGGCATTCGTCGCCGCGGTTCATTTTCGAATTCTTGGAGTTTTTCCAGAATTTCCATAATGTTCGAGAGTTTGGGCACTGTTGTTTTCGATCGGTTCCTATGTAAGGATGGTCACTTACACTTCAAAACCTTCCCCGTTATGTCTCTGTGTCCTTCCCTGTTATTTCCCTTTGTGTTCTAGGAGTTCGGAATTTTGTGCATTAGTGAAAGATACTTCGTTTTCCTACGCTAGCCTTTGGCACAACTTTTATATTATTCTTTCAAATCTAAGTATTTTTAGAATCAGGGTTTTTAAAAAATTGAAAGTGTAAATTACAAATTGTAAAATTTCCTACGGCGGAACGGCAGCTTCAAGCGTTAACCGTGCATTTGGAACACTGTCGTGTTTGGCTACCCGAAATTTTGTATATTCGCTTTCATTTTCGAAACATGTGCGTTGAAGCAAAAAAAGTGGAAGTCATCATTATTTTTTGCATCCTTTGATGCCTATAGTGATGTCGAGTTGTTACATGAAGGTTAATTGCTGTACATATTGCGTAGAATCGTCTACTTTCGATAGTCATAAATTTAATGTGTTAGAATCTAGTAATAGAGAAGATTAGTGAAATGCGGTAATCATAGGGAATTGTACGATCTACGTTTATTTAAATTTTTCAGGTGACGTGAATAAACAACGTAATTACAGTGGGGAAAAGCATCGTGGACAAATCTCTAGCAGTGATGAAGGTGATTAATCGCTATAAAACTTCGCTATTGTTAATGTTAAACGATGTTAATCCTTCAGAAACGGTGCAGAAGCGCGACCATAGCCCTGAGACACGACGGCGACGTTATGACTCAAGTAGCGATGATGGTATGTAGCTTCTTCACATTCGTTATCAAAATCGGGTAATTAAAGTTCCACTTGCGTGCTCATTTAAGTACTCTGACTTATACTTAATTAGGTGGTGAGATCTCTTACTGCTTAGATTTCCTGTCCTCACGTCTCAAACAGGCCTTAGCGCTTTTTCAATCCGATTCTTTTATCTGGCGGCTGTTTCGTTGCAGCTTGAGGTACATTCGTCTTCTGTCACCAGTGAAATGTTGAATATTGGAAAAGCGTGATTCTCCCTTGGATAGCAATCTATTTAATCCAGCTACGTTGTTCCTAAGTTTTCGCCATAGACACCTGTAATTCTATGCTTCCTTGTTGCTTTCTCGAATTATATCAGGATGGCGGACGATCTGACAGTCACTAAACCAGCAATCAATCGAGACCGTGGTAACGGACCTACGTGACACATAGGAGTAGTCCAGGAGCGTTTAGGGACAATTTTTATGTTCGTAAAAGTCAATTTTATATGATATAATCTGAGGTGAATAGCGATAACGTGTGAAAGTTGGTCATGTGGCAAAATGGCAATAGATTGTAGCTGTACAACACCTACTAATTCGATCAATTGGTGCAACCTAATGTTGTAATCGTGTATTTTTATTAAGTGTTCAAATGTTAATAACTTCACAGTAATGATAAGAACTCAAGGCATCTCGGGCCGAATTGAAGGCCGATCTTTGAATTTTTTTGATGAAAGATGTTATTTTTCTACAGAATCGAAACGAAAGCACCACCGGATCCCTAAACGGAGGCGCCAACGCGACTTAAGTGATGATGAAGGTGTGAATATTTTGTTTCCCTATCAAATGTGAAAAGGGATTCGTGCTAAGAAATGTTTTCAATTCCTGTTGTATTTTTGGAGAAGTTTTATAAGTTTGTTACCTTTCTACAGAATCGGAGCGAACGTACCGCCATAGCCCTGAACGAAGGCGTCGACGACACGACTCAAGTGATGATGAAAGTACGAATATTTTATTTCCCTCTCAAATATCAAATAAGTGGGCTCATGCTAGGGATTGTTATAGGTCCTATTAGATATTTTGGAGAAGTTTTGAAATCCATAGAAACTAAATAATAGAGGAGGATAGCGGGCTCACCAAGCTTTTCATCCCTCCATGGTCTGGAAACTCGTACTGGACTTGTAATTACTGTCTGTAGTCCAAATGGAAACGCTCTAGTCTTTCTATCCCAGGACGTCAGTGAGAATCGACTCGGGCAGCAGTCTGCGACATTAAAGATGAAATGTAAATCAGGCAAAGGCTCAAGCAGCAGCCGAGGCCACACGTAAAAGTTGGCTGACCTTAGTGGATGATGGATGCGATAAAACAAATCAAATATGGAAAATGCTGGGATCCACGCAGTGGATGTTAAGACGAGTCATGTAAAATATTAAATAAATAATGCAGGCACTATTATGGTCGATCACAGCTATAGCTACGGTAAAGCAGCTCCGCGAGTCTGTGTAGCAGTACACTCTTTCTTTGTCGGCTACAACGTTTTTGTTCGACAATGTGATAGCTTGGAATGATGTTTAGTTCGTCCACACCTAAATTTGCTCTAACCCTTAGCATGTTTTGCATTAATTTGGGGGTCATTCACACAGGAACTGTCTTATCAATATGGTTGCATTCATTTTGTTAGATTTTGCTGTTATCGACAAGTGACCATGGTAATGGCCACTCTTCATCTTAGGGATTAGTCTTATCACTATTTATTTATGTGATCTTATAAACTGATCTTCTTAAGCTGACGCGAGGTTGGTACAGTTCTTCGTTGTCGTTGTCGTTGTCCCGCACGTAACATCACGGCTCTGAGGAAGGCGAAGTCGCCGAAACGTCAGCCATCGATCAATAACATCAAAAACAACGACAACGACAACGAAGATCTGTACCAACCTCGCTTTAGCTTAAGAAGATCAGTTTATAAGGCCACATAAATAAATATATCAACTATCTATGCCGAGGTTTATAGAAAGTCGGTCTTTCGTCTTATCACTATGTTTTCCAGACCTATTAAAAGTAAAAGGTTGCTCATTTGCAAGCGAATGAATTGAACAAATGGTGGCAAGGGCTGCGCAACGATGAAAGTTGACTATTGAAATCATACTTTCATTCCATAAGGGTAACTGTGCCAATTAACACTTAGACACGATAATTTTGTCGTATTTAGGCATATGGGTTTAATCTTTTGCCGAACACGTTCGGTTCGCTGCTCATCTGTTCGCTAGTAATCTATTCTGCCACCTATATCTTGATTCTTTTAGAAGAGGACAAATCAAGCGGACAGAATCGCCATCACAAACGCCAAGCAGAAAGTCATGAACGCGATAGGGGAGGTGAAAATCGGAGCAGGCGTGAAGATTTTTTTCGGAATGAGTAATTTTTTGGACTATTTAATCTTTCAGTGTTCGAAATTCTTCATCAGAAAATGAGTTGATGTCCAGCTAAAGTTGTCGTTTTAAAGTTCCGTGGAGTGAAATGTATGAATTTTACAATGCGATCAATTTTTGTTAATTGCCTGTTCTTTTTTCATGGCAGAGTATGATGCGAAATATAACCACAGTGGTGCTGAAATATTTGCAAAACTCTGGACTCGAAGGTGTCTGCGATATTAACCCGTTATGACCCTTTCCGGGGGTTAACGCGTTCACCACAGCACCATGCGAGTCCTTCATTTCGCTTGTCTCTCAGCAATGCTTTGGCCTATAGGTGCTATCAGCAGCCACTCCTCAGCGAGTTTGATCTGGGGACTGCAAATCGGCACCAAACGCAGTTAAGCTGAAGCTGCAATGAAAATCACAAATTAATCACTTTTTATTTACTGTCTACTCTTTTACTTTTCACGGCAGAGCATATGAATTGTATTTCTTCATACGGTGTTTTGCACTGATGAACTGAAAGAATTGCTAAAATGCTTTTGAGTATTGTTCATATTAGTCCTCCTTGCAGTTCACCCAAAAGTAAAAGGCGTCGGTCGCGAACGAGATCGAGATCACGCGGCAAGTACTGATTCCTGTCAAGCTCACAGATTGTGAATCTAGTGGAAGTATCGTGTCCATATTTGTTACTTTTAAATGTTATTGTAAACTAGGTGGATCTGCAAAATAGAGGGATCTTTCAGTATTACTCATGTTTGCTATAGTGATCGTCTGTAACATTTGTACTGATGTGTAAAAAATACCTATCGATAACAGATTCCGCTAAAGTGGACGTACGACGTCCTAACTGTAGACCGAATTGTAAATTTTAGGCTAAATTTGGTGATTATTTACCAATAAATTCTTGGTACTTTTTGTTTATGTACACATCGATTTTACCCTCTAGTAGTGTTTTGCTGTGAAATGCCTGTAGCCTAATTTTTTTTGTGTAATGCTTCACAATCGTTGACGAGATGTTAGGTAGTTTCTTTACAAAGTATACTCACGTGACTAAATCCGTGAAAGAGAATTCGTACTCTTGTTCTTGGTCTTTGTCGGTCCACCACGTGATTAAGTTGGTCTCAGATTTTCTTCCTCATTTTTAGTCTGTTTTTATTATTGTTTTCATCGTTCATTGTTAGACATGCCCCAATTTCACTTTACATGGATGCCGGTTGCAAGAGGGAATAAGAAGACGGGAGCCTGTGTATACCACGTGCTAGTCGCTGATTAGCAAAATTTCGAATGATGTATTGGGGGCAAGAGTAGCGCAGTGGTTAGACGCCCCTTACAGTGCACGTTGGTTCGGCCCCTAATTCGTTATAGAACTCACCGAACATCCCGCTACTTTGATGTGAGCAAAATACATCGATGAGCTACCGCGAGTCATTGTATAGGCCAGATATGCATTCAATCAACTCTAACAATGTTTGGTAAAACCGAGTGCATCACTCATCCCTCAAGGATCGATCCACGCCGAGAGCTTTATCCTTCACCTGTTATGTCTTTTATCATTGGAATCTAGCAAAACAGTGTTAGTGATTCAAAAATTCATTAAGTATTATGCATATACACAGCCTATCACAGAGCATCGGTATTCGAGTGAACTAAATACGGATGTACAATTGAGTGAAAGCTAAGTATTTAACCTGATCATCATTGGCCCGTATTTGGAATTGTTTCTAGAGAATAACGACGAAACTGCGTATCTACAAATGTGTCACTGGCACTGGATGATTGCTCAATGGACGATATATCTCGTTGGGTAGCACCGATGGAGGTGGTTGGCTTGGAGGTGGCCGTAACAGGGAGCCGGAGGTAGCTGTTCGCTGCTTCGGCCGCGGCAAAAAAGCCGACCTGGGACTCTCATAGGCAGAATCTTGAGACTCATCACTTGTACAGTAAGGTGAATTACTTGCTCGATCAAAAGCATACTCTTTATGCGATAAGGCGTTAATAAGCGTTTGATGTCGATAGATCGACGATCGGCGTGCAGACGGTTTTCTCATAATTAGAATCGAGATGAGAATGATGATGAGAAATAGAACGACTACACTAAGGATAAATGGTAGCACCATTCCGTGTAGGATAGAGCAGGAATCAAGTTCGTTCAGCGGTACACCACTCAGTGACTTCGGTGTGACACAAGTTGCTGCGGAATGAAGACGCAACGCACGAAGTTCACATGAACAATCCCAGGGATTATCATTCAAATCCAATTCCTGTACGTCGGAGATCTTCATAGAAGATGGCAACGTTTCAAGAAGATTCCCGCCCAGTAATAGAGTTGTCAATGGCGGAAATGGTTGGAAAGCAGTAGATGCGATATGCGTCAGAGCGCAGTTTGACAAGTCCAGTGTTCGAAGTGAAGACATCGAAACGAATGCGGCCATCTGAAAAGAGGCGTTCATGGTTAAGTGAATCTAACTGGCAAGGATATGAAAGAAGACAACGATCCCTTTAATATTTTCGTCAGAAAGTTTCATCGGTTTTGATTTGACATTTTGGGATATATCTCCCTGTCTCTCATGTTCACGTGGCCAACGAGAAAAAGTTAGAACTCAGTGAGACCGTGACGGAAAGACAAATTCCAACATTTTTGCACAAAGAGAAAAGCCCGAAAATCGAGCCAAGGACTACACTAGAACAATACCTACTTTTAATTTTTTGTGAAAATCGAGCTTTCAGTAAAGAACAACTGGGTAAATTGTGGTGTCGTCATATCACAGTGGTAAGGAGACTCACATGAATAGCTTTAAGATTTTTGCAATTCGACAAGTTAAGGAACTGCAACGACGGTAACGTGTCGAAAGATGCCGTTTCCAGAGCTACGAACGGATTTCCAGATAAGTCCAATGAACGGAGTTTCGCCAACGGCCATGTGTTTCCGGGTAGTCGCACAAGCTGCAAGAAAATCAACGGATTCACATTAGATCCCTCCTAGATTTCTAAATGATCCATTTCCACATTTTCAGTGGTTAAATAGAACTGAAACGTAAACCAGTAAAATATTTATTATCGGTGGCGTGATGTAAACGTTTAGTACGGTAGTTCCTGGAGCTACTTTGTCATTCAACGCGGTCGTTTCTTTAAAATTCCTTCAAATCGACCGCCCGTCCATCGTTTTGGCCGGAGAGTAACTAAGATATAACTGTTTACACTTACTTGATTGTTCGTCATGTTCAGCAATAGCAAATTGTCCAGACCGAAAAGTGCACCGTCGTCGATATCACTAATTAGATTATCAGCAAGCGTAAGTGCCTCCAACTCTCGTAACGCGGAGAATTGTCCCGCTTCTAACTGAAATTCTAGACACCTTAAGTCTAAATTCTTTATATGAATAAAATAAAGACACTAGTGAGCAATCAGAAGTATAACGCAAAAGAGGGACTTCATAAACTTTAGCATAAATAATCGATATATTTATTTATATGTTCTCATTTAGAAGAACAATGTATGTCCCATAGTTCAGCGAGAAATGCAGCCTTACATTCTTCTAAGAATTGTATAGAATTCATATCCATTCTTCTGACACCTATTTAACATTGAACAACTAGAATCTATGTACACCTTATGGATTTTAGCAGTTATGAGACGATTGAGGTTCTCGTTCTAATCAATTCACAAGAGTAGAGCGATATTTTCAGCACGATCTCTACTTGTACCGCTCTTGTATATTGCTTGGTCATACTTTTTATATGACTCGTTTTCCTGACGAAGGCGAAGAAAAACGAGTCATAAAAAAGGGCCATGTGGGCGGGGATCGATTCCACGTGTGTGTCGCAGTGGCGCCTCCAACCACTGCTCCACACGCGCCCTTCGCTTTATCCTTTATCCTTTATGACCCGTTTTCACGTGTGATGTAAATCCCTGCTCTTCTTTCATTCGTTTCGTTTTTTATTATCCATCCCCCACGAAGGTCTCCTGATTTTCCTGGATACAGTTGCCACTTAAGGACTTTGTCTTCGTCAGGAATGTTGTCGAATTCTGGTTAAATTGATTCTCCTAGGAATCTCGGGTTAGTTCTGCTAGTGCGTTCTGAGGTGCTTACCAAAGCTAGTCTTTATGGATTCGATCACTCCCCAAGCAGATCTAGTACCAATTAGCCAGCTAGGCAAATGAGGGAGGGGGAGGTGGTTGGTTGGCACACAATGAGGTCGAACCAACCAACTACCGGGCCTACTGATGTTGGGTAGAAATCAATTCAAAGGCTTTTTTTCCATTACCGTACCCTCTACAACGGCATTACTATAAGTCAAAAGCGACGAATAGCTATTGTGCCATCACTGTGGCGTTAAATCCGGCCATTCACCCTCTGCCGACGTCGTCTGATCCATCGACAATTATCGATTCAGTCATCAATCCATTAAACGCTGCCAATGAGCATCTGCTCTCTTTTGAATACGATCCTGCCGACCATTGTTTCATATTATTTGACGTTACGTGAATGCCAAGTACTTGACGGGTTTTTTATGCCATTCTTTTGATGCGTAAATGTCGGAATCGACGGATTTATCTGCAATGAGAGATTCAGAGATGACGTAATCGAATTCAGAATGTTTTTATGACCTCGTCAAGATGTATTGAGTAATTCATGGATAAATATTGACTAGAAGTTTGGGTTTTCCTTCTTATGAAGAGTTTTTCTTTCCATCTTTAAAGATTTCTTCCTCCTTTTCAAATCGAAGATGATTCATGGTTCCCTATTCCATTGAGAAAGTCTTCAGGTATAATCTTAGCATGCGATGAGAGCTCACTTAAGAGGATTCAGAATATATTTAACGATAGCGTCACGAATGTTCTTTGTGGTTAACATCTTCGTAAAGTTTTTGCTAACTAGAAATGTTGTTTCTGTATAACCAATTCCTGAGGCTTACATTTATTAGGTAAATTTGAAGAAAATCATATAGGAAAAAGCTTAGGTAAAGAAAGTTCTAAAAGCTTTTTTTACCTAAAAAAAAAACTCTCGGCGTTGATCAATCCCTGAGGGATGCGCCATGCATTCGACTTCATTAAGTATCGTTGGAGGTGATTGAATGCATATCTGGCCTTTACAATGACTCACGGTGGCCTACCGATTTATCGAGCCAGTGCTGCTATCCTTCCAGACAAGTCTGCTACCAATTTGCCAACCTCGGAAGAATGGAAGGCTTGGTTGACCATAAACGCGGGGATCGATTCCATGTGTGTTCCAGGACACGTTCGAAAACAGTGGGTAGAATCAAAGCCGTAATTTATCAAATATGACCTTTCCGTCTTTTTCAATGCTGTAATTTCTCTACTCGTTTTAAGAACATAAGTCCTATGCTTAAACAGATGCCTTCCAATGCAAAGACCATCTCAGTATACCAGACAGCGAACTGATTTGATTCATTGGTGTTTAAATTATCTGGGATCCATTTGCATCACTTCAAGCTTAGCAATAATGACTAGGAACAACCGAATAGTTTTACTAAGAAGACTTTTAACACATCTGAACTTTAAACAACGTTTAAACACTTACGCTAGAAAGGAGATTATGGCTGGCGTCAAGATGTCGTAACTGTGGCACAGTGGACAGCAACGAAGCAGGCAAAGCGAGCAGTTTATTATTGGACAGATCGAGTGTTCTCAACGACTTCAGATCTCTGAAGACCGATGGTGGCAGATAAGCTAGACGATTCGAGGTAAGATGTAGTTGACGGAGTGCCACCAAACCCGTGAAGGAGTCCGGTGAGAGCTGCAACTCGTTGTTGGCCAAGGTCAGTGTCTGAACAAAGCAATTACGCAGATCTTTAACCGAGTTCACAATGTCTTTAAATTCTATCTATTGCCTACTTCTTTCCGTGGCAAGGTATTATGTGGAATACAACCACAAGGATGCTAAGATATGAACAGGACTCCGAACCTCAGTTGCGCTTCGTGTTAGTCATTGTGCCAAATCTGTGTCATCTCAGCATCATTGTGGCTGTATTTCAATTGATTCTTTTGATGAGGAAACATTCATTTGATTCGAAGGCAAACGGGAAAGTGAAACCATGTCAAGGTACGAATGGAGTCGAATGCTTGATGGCGCCCCATGGGAATTGATCAAAACCAAACGCTTAATCCTTTTATGTATCAAGAATCTAGAACGTACGGAGTGTTTTAACGAATATCTCAGAAAAGAAGGAAAATTAATTTTCCTTTCATTGACATCAGGTGAAAGGTTGTCGTTTAGGCGTAATTCTTTACAATTCAAGCCTTCCGATAAAGATGTGCTGTGTTGGTCGATGCTGAAGATTGTTCTATCGAATTCATTGTTTACTGGGCTGTCTACAAACGGGAAAACAGAGCCTAACAACCCCGATGTAGTCAATTTGGACGAACATTGGTAAGCCAATTGCCTGGATAGGGGGTACCTAACCGGCTAGACAGATGGCTTAATTATTAACCGAACAACGAAACTGTCAACACCGTGGATTGACAGGACTATGAATAAATTTATAGAGTCCATGTCGACGATTGTGTCATATATAAACGATCTTCATAATTCATATCCATTCGTAATCGAATGTTCGAATGACCGAGTAATATTTTCTTTTTTGATCGATGGCCTTTCACACTTCAAGCAAGCAATTTTCATTCTCTTGACGAAAATCGCTTTTGAAGAGAGAACTGTTTAGTATATTCGAAGTCTTCCCAATTGCCCACTGCCATTATAACAGTTCAAATGTATCCGAAACTCGAATATTCGGTGTTCTAACAAAGAATACTCATAACAACGATTGTTTTCACTACTGTAACCCCTGATAGGTTTCACTTTAAGAGAAACATTCCGCGACATAGATAGAGCTCTGAGACCCAAGCAATAAGCCTTTCGAAAGCGGTCCATTCGACTGGATTCCCTTCAGAAGGTTGTAAAAAACATCAAAAAACGAGAAGAAAAATGCTGAAAGCAACCTCAAGACTTCTTAATTTGCTGAAGACGTTTTTTGGCAATGACAGCAGATTGTTATTTGAGAGGTCTAGATGCTTGAGTAACGGAAGTGCCGAGAAGGCCTCTGCAGTGATGTGCGTCAGCGAGTTGTTCGTCAACGAAAGATATTCCAAATCTGAAATCTGATAGCTTTTTGCGCAAGTTTGGATATTTAAGGTTTTGTCGGCTTCATGTTTTTTGCTACTGAAAGAGGTGATGGAGGATTTTCAATCTATAGCAAATTTGTCTCCTTCAGCGCTTCGGAACTACTGTTTATTACATCAGTAAAGTTTCCGATTTCGACGTGACCACTGTACCAAGCTTTTATTTATTCTTCAAAAACGGTTTTACTGCAAAGCAATGAAAGTATTTCTGATTATTCTATTGAGAATTAAAGCACTGCGTCAATTATCCCAGAACAAAAAAGAGAATGGTATGGGTACAGATGAGCTACATGAGTCTCCCCGATAAGTTGGTACTGGTGCCAATTTCCCGAGCCAGAAGAAGGATGGATTTAGTTCACCACACAGGTTGGAACCAAAGAAATGTTCTTGACACTGTACTTTTATATCTCGAAACCGACTTTCCTTGAACCTCGGTATCACTAATCAATATGTATTCTTTCTTTGATTAGCTTACACGAGGTTGATAATGATGTTTAGACTGTACTTTTAGTTATTGTACTACACATACCCGTAACCATGATACTAATGGAAGTAGTAATAATAAAAGTGGTGATCATGGTCTTCTTTAGAGGTCGTTCACAGACCCCACGGCTGTTCGTTCCGTTGTGCGGCATTCTGATCTATCGGATCTAGGTTTAGGACCTAGGACACCTACTTCGTTATTGTTAATAAATCGTCTGTATGAAGGATTTAGTTAGGTGGAACCGGTCTCTCCGACTTAAATAGTTTCCTAAGACAATTACGATCCAATATTTTATGGGTGATAAATGGGATCACTAAACGAAACTGCCTAGGTGGGTAAACATAGAATCACGCTGTACATGCCTTTCATTCATGTCTTTTTAGGTATCGAACAGTTTAGATTACAATAAGTCTGAATACGGAGATATCCGAGCTTCCAGACAAATACTCCTGCAAACCCGTGTTCATCTCCGATTTACTGTTTTCAGATGGCTTAAAAAGATCAACATGAAGCTGAGCAAAAAAGATCTTCTTATAATAGCACGGTAAATCACTTTTCAACGATTACTTACAAAGACTTGCATTTGATAATCTGCCCTCCAGCTAACGAAAAGGTGATGACGCTAGTTGTAGCTAATTGTGATCGATAACAATATTAATAAATAACTGCCATTAATAATAATAATAATTACAATAGTAATAATAATAATGTACGTTACAGTCATTTAAATCATTACAGTTTTAAAACATTCTATAGAGAGAGGCTGAAATACGAAGGTAAACATTTGGTTCATGAAAAAGTTCTACGTCACCGTCAAGCACTATTCCCTCTGACTTCGACGCTACCGTAGTACTTTAGAAAAAGAGAAAAACAACATGCTTCGATGCCAAAAAATTCCATTCGAATAAAAACTGTAAATTATCCGATGACTTGGACTGTGACTTCAGCTTAACTGGGTTCAATGCCGATTTGTACTCCCCAAATCATTCCCATTGAGGGATGATTGCTCTGCACCGTTACTTCAAAAACTGGTTGAGAGAAAGGCAAAGTAAGGCCCTGGATGGTGCAGTGGATAACGCACAACTCCCGGGAAAGGTAATCGCAGCTTCGAAGCTGGTTCGAGTTTCAGAATTTTACTCATATCTCACCATTGTTGTGATTATATCCAGTGAATGGACAATTTCCTAAGACAAGGTCAGTTACTCTTTGGAACTGAACAAAGACAATTTTCATTTGTCGGAACGCAGAAGTTCCTCATTCCGTTGTTCCATTCAATAACCATCCATTACGACGTCAGTACGTGAAATACTTTTCGACTTAATGAATGCGTTGTACAAGTAACAACGGACCATCAGCATCACTACAGGCGGGTCCGGTCGTCTTTGCGATTACGCCATACAAATGACCACCTACCTGTGCGCGATGGTGTCGGTCGTTGTTGGGCAGGTGGTTGTGCTTTACACACCACTGCTCAAAGACAAAGCCGCAATTATGGCATCATTATCATAGTGAAAAATTGTTCAAGCGAATAAATACAAAATCTCCCATATAAATCATCGAATGCTGAATAGCAATCCTAATGGGTCCGTGCCAGAAATTGGTTTAGGTGGACGGCACATGACCGATGTGGTGGCCACAACGGAACCACGCTAGACAAAGAACTGAATTCTAATGACTTAGTCAAATTCTTATGCTTATCAAAAAGATTCCCTTTTATGTTCTTGAAAGCTTAAAGCTATAAATCCATGTTCGTGTTGAAGATCGGCTTCTATTGTTCTTTCTTTGTCCGTTTTAAACTGGATCACATCCATGAGGGCATGCCACCAATTTGTTATCACCTTTCTCTGCCATTCTTCTAGGTGAATTACTATGTGGCAACGAATAAAAATATTTGTGTTTAACGTTTTGTTTTCTGCCTTCTATAATTTTCATGGCAGGTTACTAAGCGAAATACAACCACAACGTTGCTGAGATATTTGCAAAACTCTGGACCGCAGGTGTCTATGGTGGGGAACGAACGCGCTATTATCCTTTCCGGGGAGTAACGCGTTCACCACCACACCATGCGGGTCCTTTGTTTCGCACGTCTCTCAGCTATATAAAAATATTTGTTACGCATGGAGTTCAAGGAAGATACTAAAAAAATCCAAGCCCAAGCCTACATGGTTTCAAGCGACCAACTAATTATAGCCACTACATGATTTATTTATTTGTTTACTTATTTGCGTCGTGTGCTTGTAGGGAAAAGACCTGGAAAACAAGCCTTTCACAACTTTCGAGTGGTAGTGAAAAAACCTGTAAGCTGAGATAATGAGGAAGTTTATAATGTAGAAGAAGTTCTGCACGTTCCTTCGAAACTTCTCGAAATGTTGACGCCTCATGATCCGGAAAAAGCTCCATAAAAGCTACATATTTAGTGAATTTATTGATTTGTTGTTAACACAGCACGATCGTTATTTTCATCCATAATCCCAAAACCGTGTGCCATCCATTTCTCATCCTTAAATACATGGTTTCCTTTTTCTGTAGGCATGTTAAAATTTTTTAGACAGAGAAAGCTTTACCACAAGATAGCCCTTAGCACGCAGCGTCTAACGAGCATCGAGTACAATGCATTCGGTGCGAAAATGATGCCCATTTCCAACTTTAAACTAGCAAATCTCGGTTCACATTGATATTTTTATTGAAGTTAGGATAACCAAAGTCTACAGATTTTCGTCAAGATTTAGGTGCGCTTACTCCCGCAAGAACATATAACCATTTGCCGTAATGTCCCTTCTAGAACCCGAAAAGTCCTCAACTCTTCAAATACTCTAGAGATCGAGATATTACTAGTTGTCGAAAAATCATCTTTGGAAGTTATATGTTCAGTACACTCTTTAGTCAACTGTTCTCTCATGTTTTCGTCTAAAACTCTTTTTCACTGTCTTATATAACTTAGGCGAAAGCTATTTTTATTTCCTAACATAAATCCAAATGCCAGATCTCAGGATGAATTATAAAAAATGACAGCCGCCAAAGAGTACGGTAACTTTCGCTTTCTCATTTTTCACCGCTACAAATTCTCAGAGGACTTTGCCTATTGTGGACGTCGACTTTGTCCCACGTCTGAGTTAAGGATCTTTTCTTTCTTCGGAAAGTAATTGCCGATAACTATTATTCCTGTAAATCTCTAACGACATCGCCTTTTATTTAGCGAGAACCGGAAGTTGTGACGTAGATGAACATATTGGCCACTTTCCGCCCGACTTCGATCCACTCACAGCCACCTTCCTTCCAGAAAACAAACGAATGACGCCTTCTTCGCATGGATATTTATCAATAGCAAGAACAGCGAATGTGACCGATGGCTGTTCTGAATGTTGTTCGTCAGGACATCGTCGTCCACAGCTGGCGATAAATTGAAATCTAAACGAGCACCCCACTGTCATGAGTGCATCTTGACGCGAAGAGGGCCTTGTCAGGTCTGCAGCGAAAAAGAGACGGCAACATGATGGTGTTCAGAAATAAACACATCCTAGTCCGAAATAGGCACGGCTCTAACAACAACGCCATCAATCTACCGTAACCGACAATAAAATAAGCACAAAAGAAAAACGGAATTTGAGTAAATTTAGGCCAATTGTTCTTTTCAATAATAAAATTTCAAACGAAAATTGTAGCGACCGTGTCGGTACATTTTGAAAAAGCGACAAAATTGACGAATTTAAAACCAATTTTTACCAAATTTTTGAATCTACTGCCACATCAACAGCTAAAAAAGACCAGAAGGGTGGTCCGCTTGTAACCGTATACCGTAATGACTTTATTTATAGGGCGTTAATTTCTTCCAAAGGCAAGTGGTTCGGTTTTTCTCTTGAGCTGGGCTCTGGCTTTTCTGTTGTGTTTCTTTCCTCATTTTGAAGTTTTTGTCTAAATTTAGTGAATAATCCAAACCTTCTCTTATTACAGTATGTTCCAGAAAAATCAGTGCACATCAGGACTAAAGACTGGATCGTGAGATATTTCCTTACCAGACTTAAATAAAATAAATAATGTGAGAAAGTTTTTCTGGTTAAACATGGCTACTATTAGTTCCTGATTTAATCGAAATGCATTAACTCTTATGCTCATTTGCCGAAGAACATTATTGGCTATAAAATCGCTAACGTGGGAGCTATTCATTACTTTGGGAGATATTCGCTGCTAAGTACGACATAATGGACCATAACGTGATGCGGGGTCTACGATACAATCTCCCAGACCCCCCAGTAGTAATCTAATTCGCACTCAATGTCAAGGTGAACGCAGGGTTACCGTACATGTTACTCGTTAATGCACCACCATACGCAATAATGGAACACAATAACCAAATCTTATGTACCCTTTACTTACCAGAAGATCCCCAGGAATCACAGTGAACGATACGATAGCTCTCGGGCTACGTTGCGCTGCTTAAAAAATAACGCTTGAAATGGGGTCTCTTCCATCCACAGAAAATCAACAAGCTCGCTTCCCGTTATTGTGCTACTCCTCAAGATAACCAAACACGACAAAGGAATTTGTATTACGTGCCAGGTAAGTGCGCCATCGTAGTGATCAATTTGATAGCTCTCATGTTACATAGCATAGTTTATAAAATCGTAGTGGAACTTTACCTGTTGATGAATTACATTATTCCCATCAAGAGGATCCCATAACATCATCTTACATACCAGCAGTTCACTTGCCACCAACATAGCTCTCACTGCGGTAACCGCCTAACCGCGATGTAGTGCTGTGTATTAAAGGCATAGTATGATTGGGATCCTTTCACCCAAGTTATATAAAGTATAGTGAAGGAGCGAAAGTTCCACGTAGTGAACCTCGTTTCGCGATGACGAATACGGCGGAATGAATCACTGTGGAAACGACCATGCAAAACACTGCTACGGTTATTTAACTAAAATGATGTATCATTAATGTAGACGACTTGACAAGAAAGAACAATTTGTGTCGTGTTACTATGGTACAATCACCTATTTGATAGTTGAAGGACCCGTCCTCACTGGATGCGCGGGCTCCAGCATAACCTCCATTTTTCGAAGAATTGCTGGTTAAGCC